ACCTCCTAAATTTAAACCTGGATAATTGTTAGGGTGGTGTTGTGTTTATTGTTGAATGGAGAGAAGGGAGTAGCTCACACAACTTCCCTGTTTCTAACTGTACTACCTCTTTTTAGAATTATGGAAGCATGGATAATCATTAGGGTGGTGTGGCTTTTACAGTTGGATGAAGGGAAGGGAGTGGCTCACTTAGCTCCTTTGTTTCTAACTGTACTAGCATGACGAGAAAAACTGCTCATCTCATGGTGGCCAGGAAGCAGAGAGAGAGGAGGACCCAGAGACAAGAATACACTCAGCAGGTCACACCCCCTAGAACCTGCCTCTTCAGACCAGACACCACCTCGGAGCAGCACATTCATCTTTGAACTCACCAATGGAGTAATCCACTATCCAATCACCTCCTGAACACATAAGACTTTGGGAGGACCATAACAGACTCCAGCCAGATTTGCAAAGTTCTTTTTTTTTCCCCTTTGAACAAAAGATGAACTAGAAAGATTTCTAGTTCCCAGTCCAGCAATGAAAGAATTTAAAGTCATCACTCTATCATAAATAAAAACACCAAGGGAACTCAAAAATTTATCACTCTTCTAATTTACTTCAGACAAGTGAGGTCACAGGACAAACTACTACCCCCAAAACTGGAGCAACAAACAGGTGGATAGAGAGAAATACAACTTACCTAAGCAAAACTACTGGGCAAATATCTCCAAAGGAGCTAGTATCATAGTTGGAAAACCTGAATTATACTTGACAAGTATCTGGAGGCTCAGAGTGAACAACACAAAGAATTAAAAACTCTAAGGAGAAATAGTCAGAGGTGAAGGAGCCCATACTTCCATGGTCATTGCTTATAAGAATTCTACCAGAAATACTGGTAGTGAGTACTGAAGAAAGATCTCCTTTTGCTTTTGCAGAGGGAAGGAAATGTAATCGTCCTGAAAATCCTCACAGCATTCTGTTGCTCTTAATAAGCCCTTCCCTCCAGACAACTCCCAAAGGCTCACGTGCTGGGGTCTTATCAGATCATACAGTACCTGAAGGAAGGAAAATACCCAAAGCCAGTTCTCTCTAGCCATTTTGCTCCACCTAAAAAAAGGCAGACTCTAAGAATCACTGGTGAAATTCTAGTCCAGGCCTCAGGATCACCAAAGACCAAATCAAAGGACTGTAGAGGGTGTCACCCCCTGCCTCCAAATTACCACTATGTTACCAAAGGCCTAATTGTCACAGGTCCTTTTCTCAGTAAATCTTGTGTGCCTTCCAACAAAAAAATTAAAATCATGCTAGAAAGAACAAAACAGTTTGAACAAGGAGCAAGCATCAAAACCACAATCAGATACAGTAGGAGTTTATAATTGTCAAACCAGGAATTTTACAACTTTGGTTCATATGCTGTGGCTATTGTGGAAAGAATAGACAACATAGAAACAACATGTAGATAATGTAAGCAGAGAGATAGAAATTCTAAGAAAGAACCAAAAAGAAAAACTAGAGACTGGGCCGGGAATTTAGCTCAGTGGTTTCGCTGCCTGCTGTGCAAGTGCAAGGACCCGAGTTCGATCTCCAGTACCAAAAAAAAAAAAAGAAAAGAAAAACTAGATACCATAAACGCTCATTAAAAAAAACAAAGTCTGCCTCTGCTGGGCCCATTAGAACTCCTGACATGACAGAGAAAAGTCGCTGAGCTTCAGGATTTGACAATAGGAAACTCCAAAACTGAAAAATTTGGAGAAAAAAGAACAGGGCAGGGGAACAAACCTACAAACCAATCTGAACACAACTAAAACTTATGGGACAGATATAAAAAGGTGTAACATTTTTATTTTTTATTAACACGTCTTTGTAGTACACAATGTTTACATTTCTTGAATGGAGTTGGTGCGTGTACATAACACATCTCAATTCATTTATTCATCTCCTTTTCTTCTGTCCTTCTCCCTTTCTGCTGTCTCTTGAACCCCTTCCCATTTGAGAAAGATCTATCTCCCTTCTTCCTATTATCTTTTAGTTTGCTTTTATTTTATAATTTGGATTTCTCATATAACAGAAACCATGCAATATTTTAAGTTTCTATTTGATTTATTTCACTTAATATTCTGTTTTCAAGGTGCATCTATTTTCCTACAAATGACTCAAATTTATCTTTCTTTATGCCAGAGTAGTGCTCCACTGTGCATAAATACTACATTTTCAATTTCTGTATTGATGGTCATAAAGGCTGCTTTCAAGATTTAGCTTTATGAATTATGCTGCTATAAACATGGGTATGCATGTATCACTACAATTTGATGTCTTTAACTTTTTTTTGGTACCAGGGATCAAACTTGGGACCTTGAGCTTGAGAGGCAGGCACTGGAACCACTGAGCTAAATCCTCGGCCCCATCTTTAACTCTTTTGGGAAGATACTTAGAAGGGGAATAGCTGGTTCAAATAGAATTTCTAGTTTTCGGGGTTTTTTGAGGAATCTCTATACTGATTTCCATAGTGATTGTACTAGTTTATATTCCCACCAACAACATAGAAGGGTTCTTTCTTCCTCATGGCCTCTCCAGCATTTCTTATTATTTGATTTCTGATTAATAGACATTCTTTCTGGGTAAGATGGAAGCTCAGTGTTATTTTAATTTGCATTTCTGTAATTGGCCGGAGATGTTAAACATTTTTCATGTATTTATTGGTCATTTGTACCTCTTGAGAATTGTCCATCCATTTCAGTTGCCCATTTTTTTATTGAGTCTTTTGTCTTGGGTGGGTCCTTATTTTTTGAGTTCTAAATATATTCTAGATATTAGTCCTTTCCCTGAGGAATTGCTGGCAATTTGTTTTTCCTATTCTATTTGTTTTCTTTTCACTGATACTTGTTTCTTTTGGTGTGAAGAAGCTTTCAAATTTGATAGGATCCCATTTGTTGATTCTTGGTACTATTTCCTGTGCAATGTGGGTTCTATTCAGAAAGTCTTTATGATTATGACTTCAAGTTTTAACAATTTTATCTTCCAGTAGTTTAAGTGTTTCTGTTTAAACATTTAGATTTTTGATCCATTTTGATTTTAGTTTAGTACTTGATGAGAGACACGGGTTGAGAGTCAGTCTTCTGCATAAGGATAGCCAATTTTCCAAACACCATTTATTACACAGGCTATCTTTTCTCCAGTGTATATTTTGGTTATTTGTCAAAGATCAAATAGTTTAATGTGGTTGGAGTTGATTTTGCATTCTCTATTCTGTTCCACTGATGTTCATATCTGTTTTTGTACCACTAACATGCTGTTTTTATCACTGTAGCTTTGTAATATAACTTCAAGTCCAGACTTGTGATTCCTCCTGCTTTGCTCCTGTTGCCCAGAATTGCTTTTGCTATTCTGCATCTTTTCTGGTTCTATATGAACTTTAGGATTGTTTTCTTCCATTCTGTGAAGAATGCTGTTGGAATTTTTATTGGGATTGTGTTATATCTGTACATTAATTTTGAAAGTATGGGTATTTTGACTATGTTGGTTCTGCCTATCCAGGAACAAGGGATATCTTTCCATTTTCTGATGTCCTCTTCAATCTCCTTTAACAGAGTACTATAGTTTTCATTGTGGAGGTTTTTTACTTCCTTAATTTCTAAGTATGTAATTTTTCCTTGTATTATTGTGAGTGGTATTTTTTCTAATTTCTTTCTCAGTGGGCTCATTATTGGTGTACAAGAACAGTATTTTGTGTGTTTGTGTATCCTGCTACATTACTGAATTTGGTTATTAATTCTAGGGGTCTTTTGATGAATTTTCTGGGGGTCTTCTATGTAGAGGATCCTGTTATCTACAAACAATGGTAATTTCACTTCTTCTCCTATATGTATACCTTGCCTAATTGCTCTTGCTACTATTTCAAGGACTATTTTGAACAGCAGTGATGATAGTGAACATTCTTATCTTGTTCCTGATTTTAGAGGGAAACCTTTCAGTTTTTCCCAATTTAATATGATGTTAGCAGTATGTTTGTCATAAATGACTTTTATGGGATTGAGATAAGGTCCTTCTATTCCTATTTTCTTATATCATGAAAAGGTGTTGGATTTTGTCAAAGGCTTTTTATACTTCTATTGAGATGATCATCCTTGCTTCTGTTACATGATATATTGATTTGTGTATGTTGAACCATCCATGCATTTGTGGTATAAAGTCAGTATATATAATCTCTTTGATGATTCATTGCCTTCTGTTTGTTAGTATCTTGAGGTTTTTGGCATCTACTGTCATTAAATAGATTGATCTACTGTTCTCTGTTTTGATTGGATCCTTGTCTAGTTTTGGAATCAGGGCAATAGCAGCTTCGAAGAATGACTATGAGAGAATTACTTCCCTTTCAATTTCATTAAAGAACTTGAGAAGTATTGGTATTAAATCTTTTCTGAAGTTTTTGTAGAATTCAGCAGTGAATCCATCCAGACCTGAGCTTTTCTTGGTTGAAAGGTTTTTTTATTATTGCTTCCTTTTCATTGCATGTTATTGCAATATATACATATTTTCTAAAGGAAAATTCTGACACATGATATAATATGGATGAGCCTTAGAGACATTATGCTACTAAAATAACCACAAAAATAAATATTATATGATTCCATTCTCAGGAATTACTTAGAATAGTCAAAAATCATAGATATAGAAAGTAGAATCATGGTTTCCAGGACTGAGAGGAGAATTATTGTCTATGGATAAAGATTTTCAATTTTCATGTTGAAAAAAATTCTGTGGATGAATGGTGGTGGTAATTGCATAATTTCAATTTATAAAAAGCTACTGAACTATATTTTAAAATCATTAAATGGTAGCTATTATATTACCTCAATTCAAAAAGATAACCTTAAAATTCATGTCTTAAGTCATATGAGATTCTCAAGGAGATTAAATCTAAAAGAAAGATTCATGTTTTGTGTTCTATGGAATTTAGGGACTAAGTAAGAAATCAAAATATATGACTAATGAATGCAATTGAAAGCAAAGGACCTTCACACAAATATAAGGATTTTATTGACACATGGTATCTTCTTACAGTAACAAATACAATACAATCTTCTTAAGGGTTAGTTTGGAATTGGAAAGGCAATGTGCCCTTGGAAGGAAGAGTCAGGTTTCTGGCACCATCTTTTTCATCTGAGAGGAAATCATCTGAGAGGAACCTGTATGCTGGCCAAGGATCACACAGATGTGTATAACTGCATCAACCCAATTCTTTTCTTTACATCATAAAGGTGACTCATGGCCCTTGGACCACATCACACAAGGTACCCCCTACCCTTATTTTAATGTAATATATCATAAAAATTGCTAGTGCCACAAAAATTCAACATTTCAAATATAAAAATTATTTTATACAAATATAATTCATAATCATTTTTAAAATACAGTATTGTTGTATATGAGTTTGAAACATTATTAAAATAAATATTTCCTAGACAAAATTTCATTTGCATCAAAAATTATAAAACAGAAGCATATAAAACTAGTTCATGATTGAATCTTCTTCAGGGTGTTTCCCATTTTCTCTCTCACTCAGTGTAGACACTATAAAGCACATGCAGCTAGCCTGAAAACACACTGCCACCATCCTGTGCCTCTGGATGCTTAGATATCCTGTGCATCTACCTATAGCACCCATGGTTTACCTACCCACATATTCTGTACTTGGAGCTTCTGTGGTAGGAAGTGTTGTCCTGCACCAATTTTCACTAACACACTTTTCCACCCACTCTCTGGTTCAAAGGTCTTATGGCCTTGTTACTTCTAGGGATGGGAAAGGCATGTCAACTTCTGCATTGAGAAAGCAATTCCATCCCCTACAGGGGACTAGAACAGCTATTTCCTAGGTCAGGATATTTGCTGATTATTTGAATTACTTAGATGTTTGACAGAGCTTGGTAGTACCAACCCTAATTTCTAGGGTCTGGGAATTCTCATTCGTGATTGATCACTAGGTGTTGAATGGGAATGTTTTAATGGGCTATCTTGTGACTCCTGCAGTATTTTCATACTTGCTTGGAAATGGATAGCCAGAATGCTTAGTAGACAATATAGTTGTGTGTCTACATATCTTGGAGAGAGGAGAGAAGAAGGGATATAAACTACGTAAACCATCAAATTCTCTAGCTATTATTAATCATATCTCTAAGTAGTATGATTTCATTTCTCCAGTGATATAAATTAACAAGTTTCACTAACAATAGGCTGAACGACTAAGCTTGTTGACAATTATAGCTGCCTTTCCAACTACTACCAAAGGGCAAGTGTTTTAGGAAAGTCTGGTTTAGAAAACACAAGTAGTAAATCTTCAAGGATTTGCAGTACCTTTCACACAATTTAACCATCCAGACCCATGTGAATGTCCTTAGTTCCTCTCACCAAAATGTTCCTTAAAAAAAAAAAAATCCATCCTCGTTTTCTGAAGCAGCTGATTTTTCCTCCATCTCCATAAGTAAATGTCCTAAGCAAACATTTGCACTGGTCTCTAAAGCCGTGTTTCTTGTACTTCTTCTTCTGTTTCTTCCTTCAGAGCAGTAATTTGGGATCGAGACTTGTGCTTGCTGGAGTTGCGATGGGGGAAGAGCCTCATCCTGTCTGAAGAGCTGATGGCCTGGCGGAAGAGGCTCTTCTCGCTCAGCAGTTTCTGGATGGAATCGTACTGCCGCACTGTGTTCTCTTCTATGACCTAGGGAAGTGGCCACTAGTGAGATCTCAGAGGGTAGGTCAGACCAAAACAGGGACAGAAACTGGCAAAGACCCAACGGAAAATAAAAGCCAAGATAAAACACAGTGTCCAGAGCCTGAATATATATCACATATATTTCATTTAATTGCTCCATCTTCTTGCTTTAAGGAGATCCTACCAATTTTGAAATTAGCTGTACTTTTCTATGTAGCAGCAGACTACAAAACAAATTAGTGTAGAACCAAGCAATGTGCTTCTTCAGAGAACTTTTAGAGGAACTGCAGATGCTTGGAAAGCAAGAATGACTCATGACAAATCCCTAATATAGTACTTGAAAAATGAGTTAAGTCCACAAGACCATCCAGCATTACACCTCTTCAACAGCACATCTGAAGCTTAATTCCAAACTGGACAAGACATTCCTGAGTTTAATATGCTTCTAGGTGTTTAAAAATTGAGCAAACCCAAGGCTATAGGATAGAGGACCTTATCCAGCCTCCCAAACTTGTCCATGACAAGGCAAGAGGTTATGAGTCTGCTCCCTAATCTGTCACTGGGAGCTGAGTAATAATGTTGGTGATACAAATCCTTTGGTAAAGGAAGCATTTCCCTCCAGAAGGCTCCAAAGCCGTAAAAGAGATGACATAATATATTATCCTCAAACTTCCTTGTGACTAAACCACAGGGAATTTGTAAACATCATTTGAAGGAATCTGTGACAGTTTTGAAAGCACAGTGAGAGGCACTAACCTTAGCACCACATAATGACTAGACAACTGAAAGAGTCCCTGCAACTATTGCATTAAAACCATAAATCAGACTGGAAGACAACTAGGACTGTTCTACACTCTATCCAAGGGAGATTTAGGGAGACTGAAAGAATCAAAAAGACTTTTTATTTTTTAACAGTAGAGCATTTTCTATGACTTGGTCCCCAAATAAAGGTCTGAAAAAGCATAAATACCTGATTTCTTAATGCCATGTATGATATGGTGGTATTTTGGATGTACTGAATTTTACCCTCATCTCATAATTTAAATAAAAACTTGTACAGCTAGTTTGAGTAAAGATGGGTGGCTTTATGACACATATTTTAAGTACGAACTTGTACAACGTTGCAATTGCATTAACTATCACATGTAAGACTGGTATCAAGAATTACAAGAGAAATGAAAACTAAAGTAAATATATAAAGACTCACCAAAAATCGCTGGCATTCCAACATTGCTTCTATCCTGTGTTCACAGAGGATTACTGTACAATCAGCAAATGCTTGTTTTATAGTTCTTCGAATTATTTGGTATGTTCTAGGAGAGAAAATGCCACATATAACATCACAGAAGATAGGTAATCTAAGATAGGTAACAGAACATGCCCATCGTTCTGTTTAGTTCTTTAAATTGCTTTTTGTTTGCTTGTTTGTTTTTTAAAAAATGAGATAGGATCTTGCTATGTTGCCCAGTAGTCCTTGAATTCATAATCCTTCAGTCTCCTCCTCCTGAGTAACTGGAATCACACATGTGTGGCACATGGCCCAGCTTAAGTTTTTTTTTCTTTAAATACTTGTAATACAACATTGATACAGAGTTGGCCACAATCAGCTTTCAACTATGGGACAGATTCTAAATATTCATAAATAGAATAAATATTTTGAAGAAAATTTCATAAATAAGTGTATTTTTCATCATGTAGAATCACCATTAGTTCTTTATTTTGTGCTAGACATATTTTAATGGTATAAAGGGGATATAAAGAAAAACCATGAGGATCAAAGTATGCCCATGTAACTAAATATTTCATCATTGTTGAGAAGGTGGAAGAGTTTATATGAAATCAGAAAAAACCTACATTCAGCAGAGAACACAGGGCTGTTATACGAGGAAATAAACATCTGTGCTCATATCAAGCACTGACTTTTCCTCTAGGCAATTATCTCAATGCGGGGAGGGTATGGTGCCTCGGTGGGAATTTGTACCAATATGATGGCAGTCTCACTGATTCTGCTCCTGCTGTTCTACTAAGTTACAGGCTTTTAGAGACTCACATGGGATCCAAGTGAGCACTGGGTTCATCAAGCAGTAAGATCTTCGCCTTACTGAGAACAGATCTGGCCAAGCACATCAACTGCTTGTGACCATGGCTTAGTACATAGCCCCCATCCACAAGGACAAAATCAAGCTTCCCAGGAAACTGTTCTATCACAGATCTGAGTCCAACCTGCAGAAAGGAAGAGGGAAAACATTGTACTTAGAGAGATAACACACTTGAGATACCACAAGGCTAAAATCACTCAAGAGGTTAACAAGCTAAAAATACACCTAAAAGTTTGGAAAGATTAAATTTGATATTAATCCCTACCCCAACTCCCACTATTTGAGTTTGATTGAGCAAAAATTTATTTATATTTTGAAAGCTCTAAAGGATCAGTTGAGGGCTTATTTCATCCCTCAGCTTCATTCATTCAAGAAACTTCCAGTAAGTGTTTGTTAAGTGCCAGGTAACCCAACAGGAACAGGATATGACAAATGGTAGATTGTTCCCGAAAGGGTCAGGGATTACAGAGATGCACATATGAAAGGTGAATAAATGGGGACTGGCTTTAGCTCTGCCATCATATAACAGACAACATATCACTTGGCCTGTCGATCTTTAAATTTTTTAAATTAAGTTTATTGGTACACTTCAGCTATACATAATGATCACATTCATCATAGAGAATTTCTACCTGTACATGATATATCTTGATTCTTTTTTCCCCATTTACCTCCTCTCCCTTCAACCCCTCTTCCCCTCCTTATTTATAGAAGCTTTGTTTCCATTTTTTCCTTCTTTTCACCTTTTTTGCTTTCCCCTTCCTTCCTTTCCCCCACCTCCTCTCCAGTTCCCCTTTCCATTTGAACATTTTCTTCCTATTTCACAGTATCTATTATACATATGGTCCTTATTTTTACCTTCAGTTTCTCACACCAGAGAAACAATCTGATATTTACACACGTGTGTCTGATTTATTTCACTTAAGAGTATGGGCTCAAGGTGCATCCATTTATCTAGAAATGTTTCAAGTTTATCCTTCTTTATGGCTAAGTAGTACTCCATTGTATAAAAAAAACCCACATCTTCTTTATCCATTTATCAGCTGATGGGCATTTGGGCTGTTTCCAAGATTTAGCTATTATATACTGTGCCGCTATAAACATGGGTGTGCATATATTCCTGTGGTGTTATGATTTTAATTTTGGGGTGAAGTTACCAAGAAGGGAAATACCTAGGTCAAATGGAACCTCTTGTTTTAATTTTTTGAGGAATCTCCACACTAATTTTCACAGTGGTTGTACCAGTCTACACTCCCACCAATAGTAGAAAGGGTTCTTTTTTCCCCACAGCCCCTCCAGCCTTTGTTATTGGTTGATTTTTTGATAATACCCATTCTTTCTGGAGTGAGGTGGAATCTCAGCATTCTTTTAATTTGCATCCCTCAATTACCAGTGATGTTGAACATTTTTTCATATATTTATTTCCTGTTTGTACTTTTTCATCTGAGAATTGTCTGTTCATTTCAGATGCTTATTTTTGGATTGGTCTTTACATTTGGAGGGTATGATATTTTTGAGTTTTTTATATATTCTAGATTTTGGTCCTTTGTCTGAAGAAGAGCTGGAAAAAAAATTTTTTCCCACTCTGTGGATTGTCTCTTCACTCTATGATTTCTTTTGCTGTGCAAAAGCTTTTCAATAAGATGAGATTGCAGTTGTTGATTCTTAATATTTTCCATGCAATCGAGGTTTTGTTCCTAAAGTCTTGCCTTCACCTCTGTCTTCAAGAGTTCTACCTATTCTCTCTTCCAGTAGAGTTAGTGTTTCTGTTTGAATATTTAACCATTTGATCCATTTTGATTTTAGTTTAGTGCATGGTGAGAGACATGGGTCTAGTTTTAGTCTTCTTGGCCTGTAAATTTTTATGACTCTATAAAACTCTACCAATATGAAATTACAAAATTAGAATTTCCCTAACAGAAATAAATTAGTACTTTATTTCAGATCAGTCATCAATATTTGAAAGTCTATTTTAGTTAAATTAACCTCCAAGAAGAAGACTGGGTAAGCCACATTCAGTGGCACATGCCTGTAATCTCATCACTCTGAGAGGCTGAGGTAGGAGGTTTGCAAATTCAAGCCCAGCCTGGGCAAAAGTAAAACAAAGAGTTGGAGATGTGGCTCAGTGTGAAGGCCCTGGGTTCAATCCCCAGTAACACACATACATACACAGGAAAAAAAGAAAAGGACCAATTAAAGAATGGAGCTCTGAAGTTAAAAGAATTGGTTGTGGATATGCACTCTTCCACTCATCTGCTCATGTCAAGCATTTTACTTTAATTTACCTCACATGTAAAAAAAGAAGAAAACAATACAATCAACTTAAAGGATTGTTGTGAAGATTAACCAAGATAATTTGTGGGAAGAGGCTTCCATAGAGCAAAGGACAGGTAATTACATGATACCCACTAGGACTTTTGGAATTTGGGAAATCCCAAGGATACAAGCTCAGGCACCAAAACACCAACTTAGTATGACAAAGTTTGCAAGATGTTCCCTTCACACGCTGCCTTAGAAAGTAAATTAGCAGAATACAATAATATTAAGTCATAAGTATGTTTATCTATAATTCCCAGTATGATATTAATACTATCATTACAAACCATTTTTAATAAATTAAAAATAAATGCAAACGTTAGCTGAGTTCTGTTGAAACTAAGACGAATTCAAATTCATGGAATCTAAATTTTTCTCATTATTTTCATTCCAACTGAGCATTAGAAATAAATAAGAGGATCTACATTTTGTGACTATATGGAACTTTAAAGACAAAAGAATTTTCCAGCATTATGTTGCTGAGCTAATAAATCTCATGTAATTCCCAGATTGCTATTAAGATAGAAGAAATTTTTGTTTTATAAAATGTCACACTAAAAAATGTTTAACAGTCTGTAAGTACTAGGAATTTTGTTCAAAATGTTAGCTTTTGCTATTGCTTTACTCTGGAATGTTATTATGAAGCAACAGTGTGCTCTTGTGACAAGAACCAAAAAAATCATAAAAGTGAATTGTGGATTAACTAAATAATCCATTAGCGTGTGGTTATAAAAATAGACATTCTCCACTCCTCTTGATATTCCTTTTGCTCCTACTCTGCAGGCTTCGCAGGGCAAACTTTCAACTTAAAAGGCCACTCTGTCTGCTATTTCACTTGCTTCTAAAATAACTCACTTGACTGTCAGTGCGTAAGGATAGAAACTTTTACAAGTAATCTCAAAAGCAAACAATGTCTAAAAAGCCTTTGTTCTAAAACCAATGGTCATGGTACTTAGATTATGGTTAGCAATGAGACAGCTCTCTGAGGTGAAACAGCTCTGGAAAGGGAAGTCAGGCTGCAGCTCTGGTCCTGCACCCTCACCAATCCCAGCAAGGCCGTCAGACTTCACAAGGCTCTGTATCCTCATTACAAAAACAGGGATGCCTTTGTGTAACATCTTTGTGTATCAACCACAAAGCTATTTTCATATTATTATAAATAAAATGAAAGAATCCTTCTCCTTCCTTCCTTCCTTCCTTCCTTCATTCAATCAATATTTACTGAACACTAATCATGTGGCCAGCATTCTAGGCACTAGAAATGCTACCATGTAAATAGGACATGATCCCTGACCTTGATGCATTTATAATCCTGTGGGGGACATGGACAAGGTAAGAAGTAAATATCCATCCAGTGTAAGGAATGCTTTGAAAAGGGAGAAGGTACAGGATACACCTAGAAAAGGATCTTCTCTCAAACCTGAAGCATCAGTTCAGGTTTCCAGAAGATGCAATATGTTAGCAGAGGCCTGAATCATGACTAGAAACAGGTAGTGACAGGCTGGGAGAGCTTCCCAGGTATGCAGACAGCATGGAGAAGAAGGTCTTAGAGAACAGAGGGCACTTAGTGCTTTAAAGGAACTGAAGAAAATCAGGATAAGTGAATCATGGGAATAGGGGGAGGCTGGGGAGTGAGATTAGAGAGGCAAATAAAGACTAAGTCATGAAGGCTCTTGTAACATATTTAAACAGTATGAACTTTGTCCAGCAGGTAATAAGGAGCCATTAGAAGACAAGTGATCAGGTATGGGGTTCACAAGGATCTCCAGAGCCGCAGAAGGAGTTGCACTTAGGAAGCCAATGAGCATTTGCAATTTTTGTCTGAGTGTCATGTCCACGTTAGGGTCTGACATATTCAAAAATGTTCCTGTTTGCATGAATTATATGATCAACCCTATGGGATTAAAGAAAGGTTACACTTTACAACCTTTAAGCCCAACCTCTTTTTCTCCTTTCCTAGGCTGCTGCTGGTTTGGTTGTTTGTGTACTTTTTTTGTGCCTCTTCAACAAAGCTTATCACTTCTATCCAAAATACATGACAGTAAGTAAGGTTGGGACAGCATCATTGTCTTTGTTAACAAATTGAAAATTATTACAGAGGGGATCAGTAAGAAGATGCTAGATATGGATTGATCAAATAAAAATTTAGACATGTAAATATCTGTACTGTATTGGTATTTAAAGTCTTAACCATGTCTTTTCAAATTTTAAATTATTTTATGACCCTACTTTCCTGTACGTTTTATTGTGACTTGGCAATACTTGCAGATTTTTATAAAGTCCAATGTCTTCCTTCTCAAGTCTTTTCCCACCACACTGTGTTCCTACAGTTCACCCTATGAAGTCACATCAAAGATCTTAAAATGTGTCACTTGCAATTTAGTTAATGTTTTCTTTAAAGCTGAATTTGTTGGGTAATAAGGAAACTTTGATAATGAAAATGGTTAATCTAAGGACATTTTATGAGCGGCATGCTAAGGTTGGGCACTCAACTGGTAAGTGTTTAGCACTGACATATTTCAAAGCTTCTGGCAAAGTCTACTTTGAAGGGAGGTGCAAAAGGGAGGAACATTTAGGATAAACATAAATTGGGCTACAAGGTCCAAAAGTACAAGAAATAGAATCAAGTTGTTCTCTAAGACTTTTGACTCAATATTCTTGGGTCTCATGATTCTATTTTGGCAAAATCCAGAGTTAACAAAACAGAACAAATTATGTTCCCCTTTCTTTAAATGATACCCATATTTCACAAATTATTAGTTTACATATAGAATGTTGTGGACACAAGAATTTCACTCAAGTCCCCCCCCCACCAAATTTCTCTGTATAATGCTTTCAATTATGAATAATTTTTGCATAAACATAGGCTATTATTTAGGAATTTTGATTCCATTTTAATCCATACTTTTCCTGCATGACATCCTAATGAATTCAAAAGATGGCACATGCTTCATCTAGGTCATGTGGCATTTTGCCTGGCCGTGCTTGTAGTAACATTCTCTGAAAACAGATAACTAGCAACTTCCAGAATTAAGTACAGTCACCTATATGTGCTCGGGAATAAACATCATCCTTTTGTGCTAAACCTGTGCTTCCCAGAGTATAATATCATAACAGACTAAAGCCTCTTCCTTATGCTGGGATGGCTTCAAGATCCAGAGGGAGTGGATGAGAGGGCATGGAAGAAGGCCAAAGCAATGCATCTATGGGACCAGCTATAGAATAAATGGTCATAACTCCTCCAAATACATATGTTGAAAGCCTAACACCTACAGTGATGATATTAGGATGTGGGGCTTTGGGGAGGTGACTAGGTCATGAGGACTCTACACAATCCCAAATTTGGATTTGTGTCCTTATCAGGGACTTCAGAGGGCTAGCCTGCCCATTTTGCCACGTAAGGACACAGCAAAAACATGCTTAATTATGAGTGAGAAGGCCCTCAGCAGACACTTAATCTGCCAATGCCTTTTCTTGAACTCCTCAGACTTCCTTCAGTCCACAGTATTTTGTTACAGTAACACAAATGGCCCTGAGTCCACTTGAGCAAATAAATGGGTCTAATCCAAAGAATGGGATGCTCTGGGTAAATTTAGGGTACTTAATTTTAAAGTTACACACATGTATATGCACACACACAAAAGTACATGTGGAAAATCATCTCAGCTATGACAATCACTCTTTTGTGTATATATTTATCTCTCTCTCTCTTTTTTTTTTTGGTGCCAGGGATCCAACTTGGGACCTTGTGCTGTGAGGCAGGTGGGGGAACCACTGAACTAAACCCCCAGCCCTAAGTTATCTCTTTAAAAGTTATTCCAGTTAATATCTTACCTCATCTGCAACTTTCCATATTTCTTGATCACTCCATTGTTCATAAGGATCCAAGTTTTTTCTAAAAGTTCCAGAAAAGATAAACACTTTCTATAATAATAAAGAAGAGAAAAAAACATCAATAACCTAAACTATTTATTTTTATTTTGCTGTGAAATATTTCAAGCAGAAAAAATATTTAAAGCAATGTAACACACACCCATGTGTCTACCATCCACTTTTCCTAAATTTTAATAATTTAGATTGCCTTTGTATTTTTCAAGAAAAAATATTATAGCAACATTTTAAATCTCTTATGAACATTTTTCTAATCCCAATGTCCTTATGATAAAGAAACTGAGTTCATTGAATGGTGCGGGAAAGTAAAAATTTTTCAGTACTAACAATATTCCCCATAATAAGTAAATATAATATGCAATTTAAAAGTTAAAAAAAATATAAGTTTATGAGTTACAATTAACTTATCAGAGCAAATTCCTATTTTATTAATATATTTTTTCTTGGATTTCTTTAATAAACCTAGCTTCCTTATGGATTTTGAAATTGATTTAGCTTACAGATACTTAGTCAAACTCATACATACACAGGGTCTATAAACCAGGGCATACCTCTACTTGCATGGCCAGACAGCCACAGGGAAGTGTCACAATTTAGAAATCAGTGCAAGAGAAGAAATGAAACACTTTCTTAACTGGATGCATGTTATAGAAGGAAGGCAGATAAGACTGCTCTGATGAGGTGAAAAATGAGTTTAATTGCCTCCAAGGAGCAGACTGAGACATTCTATTTGCTGCATTACTGTCTACTTAAATCTGCCTTTATACTTAAAAACATGTCTTTAAAAACTTCACTGTTGCTTTGGGAAATGCTCATGCCCTAAGGAATGCACTAAGTAGTACTCAGTCCTCTCATATATATGGTGAACTGAAAAAATAACTTTGATGTTAATGCCTGGAATAATTTTTCTTTTGCTCTTGGTTGATAACACTCACTAGGAGATTTAGAACTGAATTTCTTGAAGCCTCAATTTTCACAAACTGCCTTGGATGGAGAGAAATTGCTCAATGGAAAGAGATTTCTCAGTGCCCACCAGGTCAGTAATAACCACAGAAGAAAAGTTGGCCCCAGGTTATGGTGTTTGTACCTTTCAGGCAGGAGAGTATCCTCACCAAGGCGGCAAGGTCGAGGATGGTCATATGGGTGACCTCATTCTCGGGGGCATAATTTATGACTTAGATAATAATGCTACTGCCCAATACACCAGGAACTCTCTAGACAGAGCATCCAGAAAGAAGACTTGTATGAATATTTCTCAACCGACATTAAAATCATCTTCCTAATGGGGTATCTTCATTGCTCTATAGCATTGGAAAGGAGATTAATCTATAACTCATAGGATCATAAAATATGTTGGTGGGCATTTGTGTGTCCACCTCTATGCTTCTCAGTGAATAAAAGTAATGTCTAAATAAGCTAGAGAGAGTAGAACAAAGAGCATTATGGAAAATTTTGATAAACTAGAGAATTAAATAAGAGGTGCCCCCGAGAGTGTGAGTCAATTAGTAATTTAAGCAATCAAGTTTATTGGTGCCTGAAGCTCAAAAGTGTGCCAAGGGAATTTTGTCATTTACTGTTCTTTACAAAGCTTTCTTATCATTGTGGTTGCTTAAAAGTTTTCAGTATGGAGAAGGACAGGAAATAAGAACTATGACAGCTAACCATGTATTCAATGCTTCAGAAAAGTAATCTCCACTAAGAGGCTGGGACACAGAGCTCCTGTTTATGGCAGACTTATCATATGATTCGCCCTAGGACAGGGTGATTACAGGTGTTGTCTCTTTCCATCTCCAAACAAACCTAATGAGGTAAATCTTATTGTTGCACTCCAAGAAAGTACAGCTTAGAAAATAAGTTGAGTGACTTGCCCAAGATCATTTGGCAAGTAGATACTGGAATTCAACCTCAGGCCTGCATGTCTTCAAACCTCTGTCCCTCATGACTACAGCAAAATGCTCGAAGTCTTTTGTGGGCCAGGCCCACAACCCATCCCATTTGGAACCAGCAAATATTAAAGGTTGGACAGGAGCAGCCCTTATGAGTGTCTCTGGAGCATAATCTTTATTTAAACACTGTTATTCACCCCTCCGGCCACACGTTCAGTTCTTGAAAAGATTTCCTTCCGCTTCCTAAGCAGGGTCTTAGTTGAAAGGATTGCATATGGGCTACGGACTCTTTGTAGCTTTCAAGGAGACTTACACACTCAATACAAACACAATAGAAATGTTTACTTTGGCCAAATAGAATAATGCCATTATCTTGCAAGGCTGTGGGTAGAGGCCAAAGGTGGTATGACTTGAAAGTAGACACAACAATTAAAAGCAATGTGGCTTGCTAGGGTGACACAATAGTTTTGGCTTGATAGGTATGTCTACAAGCAGAAACACAGCCTCTTTCATTTCCATGTTTTGGGAAACGGGAAATGCTATCTCTCTACTCATATCTCCTCCACCTCTATGCTTCTCCATCTCAGCATATGGCACACCTTCATCTCCTCAATCCAGGAACTTGAGAGTTATCTTTGACTTATCTTTCTCCCTGACCTTTCTAAATGAAATTAATCATGAATCCTATGAATTTTTTCCTAAACAATATGTCATATCCATTTATTTCTTGATTTTTATTGCCATCTAATATTCCAAGCCATCAATAGGAAGTGGGATAACAATATACAGTAAATGTTTAAAAATTATTACCCTGAAAGATACATTGCCATTAATACCCTCAAAATATTTCCCCTTGCTTTGAACACACATATCCCATTGTTTGTATCACTTTCTGAAGCAGTTCTGGAAGTCTTCTTTCATGCATGTCTTTATAAAGTGTGATCAAAAATATAGTAAATGTCACTGCCCTGTGTCATTTAACAGAAAAGCAGGCTCTTAAAAACATTACAGTGTGTCTTCATCTACCTTTCTCACCAGCTCTGGTATCACAAAACTTCTGAATCTTCCTCAAAGTAAAAATGACCATGAAAATTAAATGTTTTGAATCAACTCAGAACGAGACAGCCATGACAGCACAACTAAAGACATGAAAGAAGAGTTCTAGGTCAGGGTGGGGGGCATAAAAAGATGTAAAATGTGTCAGGTACATGTACCAACTACCTACAATGAATGTAATTATAATATGCCACAACACAAACTAGAAAAACTAATAACAATAATAATGAAAATGGGGAAAGGGGATCTAGAGATGGAGGGAGGGAAATGGGTGGGAAGAGGAAGGGGAATAAAAAAGAATCAAGATATGTTAAGTACATGTATCCATTTCCTAAGATGAGTGTAAATATCAAGCACTACAAGAATGTACTCATACAATAAACACAAAATACATGCTTTAGAAAGTGTCAAGAACACATATTCAAAGCAAGGGGGAGTTTTATGAGGGTTTTAATGGTGATGTGTCTTTTACTACAATAAAATTTTAAAATTTATACATTTGCCATATTTTTGGATCCTTCTTTTCATGTAAGCATTCATTGCATCTCTCTCTCTCTCTCTCTCTGGATTACTGCAAATGCCTCCTAATTGATTTCTTCCTTTACATTCTTGCTTCCCCTCTGATCCATTCTCATTTGGCAACCAAAGCAATTCACTACAACTATAGATTAGGTTTCAATCTTTGAGAAGCTTCAAGGACTTTCCATTACACTCAGTGAAAAATGTAATATCTTTAAAATGGCCTATAAGACTTTGTATGATTCAGTCTCTTCTATTTCTTCTGGCTCCTTTAGTACCTTTCTCCACTCCCTTTCCTTTTTTACTCCAACCACACTGGCTTTCTTTCAATTCCTCAACTTTTTCACATTTTATTTTGCCTGCCTGGGATTTCAAGCTCCACACTCTTCCCGCCCAGGAGGAGGCTCCCCTGCCGCCATTCCACCATTCCCAGGGCAGAAGAGGTGAGCCAATCCCAGTGCCCAGGAGGAGGTTCCCCGCCCCCTGCCATTTCACCACTCCTAGGGCAGACCTCACCACCATGAAAATGAGAAGAGACATAAACAAGCCTCAAAAACAGACTTCCAAATCACCTAAAGCAACCCAAAAGGGAATGAGATGGAACAATCTGATACTCAACCACCTATACTCCCTGAACTGTCAAGAAAAGAGGATCTGGAAAAAATGAAATCAGAAATAATTTCTCAGATAACAGCAAAGATTGTACCCACAGTGCAAGACATGATTAATAAATCTAGGGAGGACACAGATTACAAAATTGAGGAGCTGAGGAACATGATGGAATCCCAACACAGGAAACAAATGGAATCCATAAAACAGATGCAAACAGATTTCCAGGAGA